TGTAGACTGTTTTGTGCGGTGCTATAGGCACTTGCCACTGCTTGGACCAGCTTACAGTTAGATCAATTGCTTCCTGGAGTTTTTTAGAATCTAATAATGCCGAAATTGGTTTATAGATTTTCATGTCGTCTGCATATACCTTTGCAGTAACACCTACTTCATGAAGCATGTCCGGGAGCTCGGCCGTAAAAATGTTAAAGAGCACCGGTGACAGCACGCCTCCTTGGGGCACACCACTGATCACTCGCCTGACACCCGAGAAAGACTGGCCAATCTTAACCTGGAACGTTCTATCGCTTAGGTATTCTGAAATCCACTTCGTGAGAAGCGGGTGAAATCTGAACGCTTCCAGCTTGAAGATCAGTTTTTGTGTGAAACCCTATCAAACGCTTTTGCAAAGTCGAAATAAATGACATCGCAGGAGACCTTATTATCAAGAGCTTCAGTCCAGTCGTTGAGGCATTCGATGAGATTTGTTTCGACGGAACGACCAGGTGCAAAACCATGTTGGTGCCTCGAAATAAGATGATTAGCCGTTAAGTGCCGAGTAACATGCTCTTTCAGAACTTTCTCGAACAGTCTACAGAAAAAAGATGTAATGCTTACAGGGCGATAATTTTCGGGGTTCCATGATGGTTCTTTCTTCAGTAGCGGTGTAACGAAAGAGTGCTTCCAACGTGAGGGTACCTCTCCGAAAGATAACGACTGATTGAAGATATATGCAAGAGGACCACAGATAACAGCAGCTATTTTCTGTACGACAAAGAATGGTACAAAATCAGGAGTGCCTCATCAAATATATTCTCGTCTCATAACCTACATATACTCAAAATACAGCGCTCCACGCCTGCAGCGAAGCGCGCTATGAATTTCGTGACAGACACGGACATACACACAGATACACACACCACAGACATACTTAGCGAATTATATATAGTAGGGGTACTTTAGGAATATTTCCATAGAAAATTTCATGGTAACACCAGCTACTGCAGACCAAATTCTTATCTACTTCTTGGCAGCCATATAATGACAATGGCAAAGGGAAGCTCCAGGTTTTCGATACGCTACAGCAGGAGGAAACCTTTCTTGGACAAAAAAGGTCGCACATGGGAGCTGTGAAGCCGCAGCTGGAGGGTTCGTTCTCCACCAGTTTTTGTGAGTCGTGGGATTCAAGCATTCGATCAAGTTCCAGAAGAAGTCCGCTGAAAGTTTTTGCTTATGTAGTGGAAATTACTCATTCGACCGGATGCGGAAGTTTGCATGTGGCTGGCAGAACTTCATGGAGAGTGATGATGTTTATTTGAGACGAATAACCTTTGATGTTTTCCCTCTAAATTTATGCAGAACTATTGAATCGTCAGGAATTCGTTCTTCAACATAGTCGCTGAGTCGAGGAGGGGGGTGGCACTCAAGTTGGTGAGCCACTTTCAGCACTTGGTACTAAGCCTCTGACGATGAGAGGGAAGGGATATTGGCGCAGAATGTGAGGTTGGTGTTCTATCTAGTGTTTCGCCTCTGCCGAGCTCATGGTCAGTTCTAGTGACACCTACCATTGGTCCTGTTTTCAATGTCTCCCTCTCCACGCTCCCAAGGCCATGCGCGCCCTTAGTATTGGGTTGTCTCACAATTAGTGACTCCTTTTACATTTATTGCTAAGAAAATTCCAAGAAAAGTGTCAAAGGGTGATGCATGTTCTTCACCTACATTATTGCTACCTGAGCATTTGGTCAGCCCATTTACATGCTGCCTTACGTGGCTACTACATCAATTTTTCTGGAACCTATTTTTGAGCTTCCTTCTTCATCACTTCTGATTAGGATCTTTCAAACGCCAACAACATAGAGGATCAACCAGCAGATAGGCGAGGGCACACTCCCTCAATCCACAGTACAATTGTGGTTCGCTGTACTCCGGAATTTGGCTTTTTGTTTGAAGATTATCCGCACTTCGAGCGGCTCGCGAATGGCACTCAATACTTTATCAGACGCCATTGAGGAATGATCAGGACAAGCCATCATTTGCGTGAGCGCTTCCGGTCGGCTGAAATGACAGTTGAGGAATCTTCTTAGGGCCGCAAGGAATCAAAAATGT